ATACCTCTTGGGTGGTACACCCTTTGTAACTCTCTCAGACCTACGTATGAGGTGCTGATCCTCTCTGCTCACTGGTTCAGTTTCAGGACTCTTTGGAGAACCAGTTCCAATAGTAAACAGTGGTTCATCCTTCACCTGTGAAGGTCTAGCCATTGTGTGAGATTTCCTCTCAATGACTGTGTCAACTGAGCTCTTTGAGCTATTACTGTCACTCTCAGTACCACTGTAATCAGTAAAATCATCATCATCATCTGAGTTGTCCTCTGTTGGAAATGTGTGAACAATTACTCTCTCCTGTTCAGGAGCACTCTCTAGAAATTTCGTGAGAATCACCTGACCAGATTCAGACAAAATTACTCTCTAGAGACCCTTTTCATAACCCACAAAAATGCCTCTAGCATTCTTTACTCCACCTGGAGCATCAGATTTTACATGAGACCCAAAAAAACTTAAAATGGGCAGCAGAAGGTTTTCTATGGAACAGGTTCTCAAAAGGAGAACTTCCCAAATCTTTTGAAACCTTTCTAATCCAAGTGTAACAATAATACATTATCAACTCCGCCCAAAACTCATGTGGCAAATATGAACTCAGCAATTGCACCTTCATCCCATTTTGCAATTCTCTGTTCACTTTTACACAAATACTTTTGTTCCATGCTTCTGCAGAAACAGCAGTCTTGTGCCTTATCCCTTTCTTATCCAGGAAATCCTGAAAATCCTGTAAAAGAAAAACTGGCTTTTCATCTGTGAAAAGACAATCAATGTTAGCATCATGAACATTTTCAACCTTGTCACAAAACTCTTTAAACCTTTCTAAGGCTTCTTTTGGTTTCTGCAATATATATATCCACACATAATGAGAAAAATAATTCACACACACAAGATAATATATTGCATTGCCTCTAGATGGTGCTAGAGGACCAATCACACCAGCATACACTCGCTGAAATGCCCTGTCAATTTTGGTCGCCTTCTGGACGTCCTTCGTCATACCTGCAAGAGAAATCATGTTAGATTCAGATGCATTACAATTTATGCAATCACTTTGGTCAAAAGTCAACAAATACAGTCCATCTTTCTCTCTGGCAGAAAGATACAGCTCTCCATCTTTGAAGATTTTGCAGCTTTCTCTATCATAGGACAAAGTCAGTCCTTTCTTTGTGATCTGCGAAACACTCAGCAGATTAAACTTTAAATCAGGAACCAAATACACATTGTTTATAGTCAAGTTCAGACTCTCAAGATACACAGTTCCAAACCCGGTCGCTTGCAGCTCCTGGCCATTGGCCTGTTTCACAGTGAAGTTTTGCTGCTTAAACGTTGAAAACAGATCTCTGCGCGACGTCATGTGTTGCGTGCATCCCGTGTCAAGAACAAAAGCGTTCTCCGTTGAAAATGCGGCTTTTGTTGACAGCAATGCCTTTGCAGGTTTCATCTGGGACTTGGTACGGCTTTTGCCTGACGCCTCAGGCTTTGCAGAGCTCCCCTTAGCTCCTTTCTGCTGACGTGGCCTCTTACAGTTCCGCTGAAGATGCTCAGGTAGGCCACAATTGAAACAACGGACAACGTTCAAAGCAACAGCCTGTTCTTCACTTGCAGTAGCAGTGGGGGTGTCAGAACTCCAAGCTTCTCTCCCCCTGTCTTTGACATCTATTGCAGCAAGTCTGTCTCTCTCATTGAGAATCACAGCACAAATTCTCTCTGCCGTAAGATCTCTGGCAGGTAGAGAACCCAGCTGACTTGCAACCGTTTTATAAGTCTGATTAAGGCTGTTGATAATCATGAAGCAGAATATCTCTTCCTGTAGAGGAAAATTCCGTTGCGCCATCTGCTGGCGTAAGAATTTCATCTCTGTCAGATGCGCTTGTACATCTCCATCAGGTGCTAGTTCACATTTAGGTGGCAACTCCTACTTGTTTGAAGGCGCACCTGTAGTTTCCTTCGGAGTGAAGCATGCGCTCTTGGCTTCCCACTTACCTTCTTCTCTCGTGGGAGACGGAACGAGGCCAGCAAGACCTGTTTGTCCATCTTGGTGGCGGAGGGGAAGCTGCCCCTGTGGACCCAGAGCAGGTAGGAGGAAGGAGCCATGTGGGGAGAGAGGATGTCATGGACTGGTGGACACAGAGGAATGGTGGGAGGAGCCGCCAAGGAAGGAGGGTTGAAGGCTCAAATAGGCTTCTAAGCAGTTCACACACCATACCAAAGAGTGGCCAGGATTCACCCCATCAGTCCCACAATGGGGCTTTCCCCCTCTCATTCCCCAGCGCACCTTGGAGATGTCTATAGTGCTTCAGGAGGGTCCTCCCTGTCGCAAAATCTTCGTGGCACTTTAGCAGAAATGCTTAGAGTTCTAGGTTCTTCAGTGCAGTATATTTATTGTGAGCTCTATATCTACAAATATCTACAGGCTATAATACAGGAGCAGTTCATACAGTCAAACGGAGTACCTGGCTGCACCTTAAGGCAAAGAGGAAGACTCTCTCTCTCTCTGACCACACTCCTCTGCACCACCACCTTGACTGCTGGACAGGTTTCCCTTTTAAACCAAGGACAGCCAATCAACTGACAGCACGTTATTCTGACCCACATCATTCTGACCCTGAACTTGCATAGAAAGTATTGCAGGCCGATTGCATCAGCCAGTTGCATCAGCTAGCAGACTCAAGCCTGCAGACCTACTATCTCACACAGCCTTCTGGGATCCCAACACTCCCCACCCGGCAAGAACAGCACAGAGGGACAGAAGAAGGGATCCTTCCATGTGGCAAACGGGAATGTTTGTGCACAGGATTTGAAGAATGATTTGAAGAACAGCAGTTTCTTAATGCCCCTCATTAAAATACACAACGAATAATTCCATTAAAACATCAAAATATGCATCCATAAAATGTACAGAAAAAGAATCCAATTAATACAGAACATCAATTAAGAGGCAGAAAACAACAGAGTGTAACAGTTCACCCTTATGTTATCTAAGAGGATAACCTTTTTCTTTTAGGGTCCAGTGTGCTTTGAAGATGTAGCTGTCCATTTCACAGACGTGGACTGGGCATTGCTGCATCCTGACCAGAGAGCCCTCCATAAGGAAGTCAGGGAGGAGAATTGGGGGATCTCGGACTCTCTCAGTAAGGCTTAATATTATGCCTACCCCCCTCCAAGATGGCCCCCTTTTGCTCTTGAAGGGCTGGCCTGTCTGCAGCCCCCACAGCCTCCCATCAGGGCCCCTTCATGGGGGCAGAAGCAGAGGAAGGGCCTCAGGAAAGCAGCCATGGCTCTGGCCAGATGCACAGGAGGAGGAGGAGGGGCGCTGACCGCTCTCCTTCCCCCTCAGACTCCATCCATCAGCAGCCCCTCATCCCCTCATTGGGGCAGGGCCACCAGAGGTGCAAGGTGCTGAGCAGGGGGGAAGATCCTCCAGGGCAGATAAGACCCCCCCCCCATAAAGCTCATCTTCTGGAATCGCCTCAACGTGATTGACGACCTGAGCCTCTGATAAGGCTCCAGGCACATTCCCCATTCAGCAGAGTTTCCAGCACAGGGAAGAGACGAGAGGTTTGGGCTACATTGCTAGGAGTTTTATTATCCAGCTATACATCCTCTCTCTGTGAGAGCAGAGAGCAACTGAACAACAAAGGAACAAAGGAAGAGGAATCCGTCTCCCGTGAGACTTCCAACAGTATGGAATGTGTGGAATGTAATGAGAGTCTTGTGACTCCAAAGCACTGCTCAGTGGCAAACCGAAACTAACAGCTCCGTCCAGCTGCCTGAATGGGAGAGAGAGGAAGCAGGGCTCCTCCAGGGACCTCCTAGCCCTGAAGTCTTTCCCTGCCGGCTGGCCATCATCAGAAAGACTCTGACTATTGGGGGTCTGGGCTGGCTCTTTCCCATGTGGGGCATTCCTTCTGCCGTGGGGCATTAGGTGAGTTTTACGTGTGTTTCTTTCATCACACTTAACTCTGGACATTACCATGTTTACATTTTTCTGTGTTTTGCTGTTTCCTTTGCCTTTAGAAGTATATTTTATATCTACTCACCACTTACTGAGTCTTGATGTATTAACCCAAGTGGTGAATAACAGGGGTCTGCAACCTTTAAGACAAAAAGAGCCACTTGGACCCGTTTCCGAAGAAAAAACAACAACTGGGAGCCGCAAAACCATTGCGACATTTAAAACAAATATAACACTGTGAACGGCTTACCGTGCTTGACTATTTCCTGAGCGGCTACAAAACTAGCATATGTTGTGGAATTTGCAGACTTCACCCAATTCTTGAAATTATTTTTGCTCCTATCAACCTTCCTCATAAGTTCTGCAATGGCTTTTCGTCTCTCATCTCCATCTGGATATTTTTCAGCAAAGGCTGTGTGTTTATTCTGGAAATGTCTTGCAATATTTGACTTTTTGTTGTTTGCAAATTTCTCACCACATATTAAGCATACTGGTAAACCAGTCTTGTCAGTAGAGAAGGCAAATGATTCTGTCCATTTATCATTAAACATTCTGTTTTCTTCAGAAATTTTTCTTTTCTTGCCTTTATCCATGGCTGGCCTACCGGGGGTCCAAAAGAGGGACGTAATTAGAAATCAGAGGGCCCCATAGCAAAATTTGCTATGCCCAATAATCAATGCCCCAAAATGCCATAGAAAATTAATCAGGGCCCCAGTGTACCATAAATCATAATCAGTGCCTGATGTAAATAATAATTAATAATGAGGGCCCAATGTCATCCTCGTCATTTTAAAATAACTTTTTGGACACTTTTTTATTATTTTTTTGTTTGACCCCTCAGAATTACACCTCCTCATAGAAATAAACGTTAAATTAACAAGTTACCTTTTTTTGAGTGTGTGTTCTTCACTCCCCTTCAAAACAGTGACCAGCTTACATGCCCCCTTTCAATGCAGCCTGCTTACAGCCCTCAACCAAAATGGCCGCTCCCGCGACTCCCACGTGCGCCCACAAAGATGGCGCCGACGATTTTCCCTTATCGGTGCCCTTTAAAGAAATGGACGCCGCAGCTTCAACCCACGCCTAGAGGAGGCTAGAGAGGGAGAAAAGTGGGGGGGGAGGAAAGCAGTGAGGACGGCAGAGAAGGACTGCCGGGAGTGGAATCCCACACACGGCGAGGGGAAGGAAGGGAGAGGGTGCGAGCTGGAACGGGGCAAAGAGGGCGGTCCCCGGTCGTGCCTGGCCTTATATGGGCTAGGCCACGCCTCCCCGGCCCCGCCGATTGGCGGGCAGGGTTGCAGGCACGCCCGGGGATTCCCCTGTTCTCGCGGGGGCAAAAGGCCAGCGCCCGCGAGTGGAGTGTGGGAGGGGTTAGCCCGCAACCCCCTCTCCTCTCTAGCTCGGAAATGGCTTTGTGGAGAATGCGCCTCCTCCCCTCACCTCCGCCCCGGAGCCGCGGCAAAGGCATTAAAGAGCCGCATGCGGCTCCGGAGCCGCAGGTTGCCGACCCCTGGGTATGGCAGAGAATTCTGTCGACAAAGGTGTGGAAAATTCCAATTCTTGAAAGTCACGAAATAGTCGTCATCTTGCCCCCACCCCCCGCCCTGATATGCCTAGCTTACCTGGCCTGCAGCGCAGGAAGTTGCATGGATCATCTTCCTTCCGGATGCAATTACGCAGCCTCCGGACCAAGCGCTGGAACCTCCCCTTGGGCTGATGTACAAAAGCCCAATGCACAACATGGATGGCGCTGCCCTCCTCCTGCTCATGTTGAAACATCCCTTCAAGCCCTGAGGGGGCAAGAGAGAAAGGCCGAGCTGGTCAGAAGCAAACATTGTAAATCTATGGTCCTCCTTTTTAAATGCAAAGAGCATTAAATGATAAATCGCATTGCAAAACCAAGAAATGGAAATGGACAGCTTCACCCATCGCAAGCGCCCACAAGCAGCGGGGGTTTCCGTTTTGGAGGAGGGACCATTCTTGTCCCCTTTCCCTTCAACTATACAAGGTTTTGTCAAGCCCACCCCAAACTCCTTCCATCCAATAGGGGGGATGTTTGAGGGCAGTGAAGTCCCTTCCAGATCACTTCAGATATGAATCTCTCTTCACTCCACACGCTTCTCAGCACAAGCATTTTCTCCTCACTTACAGGAACAGTGGGAAGACAAGCTGGCCTTGATGTGAGCCAGGTGTCCTAGAGAGACTCTGAAAGGCCCATGGAATCAAAGGGAGGCTGGGGAGGAGAACAGGTCCTCTCAGGAGTGGCTTCCGAGGGCCATGATGCACTGCCTGCCAATCCAATTCCCCGAAATTCATCACCCATCCTGAGACCCTCAGAAGAAGATTCAGGAGGGGCCTGGGCCCCTGACCAACCACATGGCTGGATGGTCATTTCCACCATTCCAGAGGTGAGACCCTCCATCCTAACCAGGGAGGGTGTTGCTTTACTTGCCAACAAGCAGGACACACACGCCTGTTTGTTGGCATCAGGCTGCAAGAAGCTCAGGGGAAGTGGCAGGTTGGGGCACCTAGGAGAATATCCTACACCCGAAGACGCCCCATGTGGTTTAGCGGACAGACTAAGAGCCCTGGAGCTGAAGGAGGGAGACCTGGGCCCAGTTCCCCCCATGGCTAGGAGCTCTGGAGGGAGGTGGGGAAGATGGGGAGTGAGAGGAGCTGGTTCTGGGTGGAAACATCCACTCTGAGGAAAAGATCACCAGCTAGAGAAAGGAGTCTCTGAGCTTAGTGGGAAGGACAGTGTGTGGTGTCCTGGGAGAGGAAATCAGGCCAGGAATGAACTGGGAGGCTGAGCCAGGAGAAGGAGGAGCTGGAAGGAGACCGGCTGCTGAGCTCTCATCCCAGTCAGGAGGGGAGAGATCCTTCTAGAAAGAGAAGACTCCCAAACCAGAGATCCCTTGGGTCTTTTGCCTGGAGTACCTCGGGAGTAGGGTAACTGGCAGAAAGTGCCACCTTGTTAAGAGCCAAAGTATTACGTGTGAAACAACTGAGAAAACCTTGAAGGGAAATAACATTGTAAACTGAACTATCCTAAGTTTTATCCACTCGTGTCATAAACTTCCTTCTTAAATAAAATCGTTAATATTTATTTGAAGAAATCCTGCCTGAGACTCCCAATTAGTGAATTTTACCTCACGCAAGTCCCCCACAAGATAATCTGAGGTAGTTGGAGGGCATTTGTGGGAATTGTGTTCTGTGAGTTGGGTGCACTATATTTAAGAGAGAGAACGGGCCCAAGGCTGCCAGGGGGAAAAGAGCCCTTGCGTCGTCACATATTAATTGGTGGCAGAGGTGGGATATGAAGTTAAAACCCACACAGATCCTATTTAGTTTTGAGCGGACTGGCAGACTTAAACATTCATGAGGAAAACTGGGTGCTGCACTTACGCCCACAGAGATGTGGAATATTGAGTGAAATATACTCAGATCTCAGAGAGGATGAAACCTCTGATTCCCTCACATTTAAAGAGAGAGTGAAAGTGCGCTTTGGACTGACTGCAGAACAAAGCCAAAAAGCCTTTCGTGAAATTAAAAGGAAACCAGGAGAGACTTAGGCCCAACTGGGTAGCCGAATTGACCAAGCTCTGGACAGATGGGAGGAAAGTGAGATGAGCTCAAACAGCTCATCAGTTTAGAGGAATGTTTTCAAGAGGTTCCTGCTCATTTAGGCTGAAAACAGTAACTGAAGTCTCTACCTTGGGAGATGAAATCAAAGGAGACTCAGGGGGAGCAGTAATGCTCAGTCCCTTCCAGAAAAAGTAATGATTGGAAACCCAGGGAGGAAGTGGGGTCTCAAAACGACAACCCTGAAGGGCGGGCCCAAGGGTGCCGGGGGGAAAAGAGCCGTGACACGAAGTAAAAACCCACACAGAAACGTACCCAGAGACACAGAACAACCAGTTTAATAAAGGAGTGAAGTTCTTTGACTAAAATGAGAAAAAATTCCTGTCAGAAAATGACCAGCAAGCGCCAAGCCAGAGAGACTTCACACGCACACGCGCCCAGTCCCGGGTTCTGGGTCCTGCTTCTTCCCTGCCCTACCCCCCCCCCCCGGAAGGGGCAGCTGTGCGCCTACGCGACGCCCCGGGCTCCTCGGCAGGGAGAGAGAAGGATGAGCGGGGCGCGCCCGGCTCGCCAAGGGTTAAGAGGCGCCGAGCTGGCTTCCTAGAGGGGACAGGAAAGGAAGGCGGAACGCTCCTCCCCCTCCTCCCCTCTGACGTCCCTTCCGCCCAGAGCGGCCTCGCCTTCGCCTGGCGGGCTCTGGTGGGTCTCCTCTCGGGGGAAGCCTGGGGAACTCCCTGCCCCGGGAGGCGGGAAGGGGAGGGAAGAGAGGCTGGGGGTCCGGGAGGGAGCCAGAGGGACCTCAGGCCCTGGCCAGGGAGGTGGGACTGGAAGAGAGTGAGGAGGGAGAAGGACATTCGGAGGGACATGATTGTGAGGGAGAAGGATATTAAGAGGGACATTATTATGAGGGAGAAGGATATTAAGAGGGACATGATTGTGAGGGAGAAGGATATTAAGAGGGACATGATTGTGAGGGAGAAGTATATTAAGAGGGACATTATTATGAGGGAGAAGGATATTAAGAGGGACATGATTGTGAGGGAGAAGGATATAAGAGGGACATGATTGTGAGGGAGAAGGATATTAAGAGGGACATTATTGTGAGGGAGAAGGATATAAAGAGGGACATTATTATGAGGGGGGAAGGACATTAAGAGGGATATTATTATGAGCGAGAAGTATAATTAAGAGGGACATTATTGTGAGGGGGAAGGACATTAAGAGGGATATTATTATGAGGGAGAAGTATATTAAGAGGGACATTATTATGAGGGAGAAGGATATTAAGAGGGACATTATTATGAAGGGGGAAGTATATTAAGAGGGACATGATATTATGAGGGAGAAGTATATTAAGAGGGACATAATTGTGAGGGAGAAGGATATTAAGAGGGACATTATTATGAGGGAGAAGTATATTAAGAGGGGGATTATTATGAGGGAGAAGTATATTAAGAGGGACATAATTATGAGGAGAAGTATATTAAGAGGGACATAATTATGAGGGAGAAGATATATTAAGAGGGATATTATTATGAGGGAGAAGTATATTAAGAGGAACATTATTTATGAGGGAGAAGGATATTAAGAGGGACATTATTATGAGGGAGAAGGATATTAAGAGGGACATTATTATGAGGGAGAAGGATATTAAGAGGGACATAATTATGAGGGAGAAGTATATTAAGAGGGACATAATTATGAGGGGAAGTATATTAAGAGGGGACATAATTATGAAGGGGGAAGTATATTAAGAGGGACATAATTATGAGGGAGAAGTATATTAAGAGGGACATTATTATGAGGGAGAAGTATATTAAGAGGGACATTATTATGAGGGAGAAGGATATTAAGAGGGACATAATTGTGAGGGAGAAGTATATTAGAGGGACATTAATGAGGGAGAAGGATATTAAGAGGGACATATTATGAGGGAGAAGTATATTAAGAGGGACATAATTATGAGGGGAAGTATATTAAGAGGGACATATATTATGAGGGAGAAGTATATTAAGAGGACATTATTATGAGGGAGAAGGATATTAAGAGGGACATTATTATGAGGGAGAAGGATATTAAGAGGGACATTATTATGAGGGAGAAGGATATTAAGAGGGACATAATTATGAGGGAGAAGTATATTAAGAGGGACATAATTATGAGGGGGAAGTATATTAAGAGGGATATTATTATGAGGGAGAAGTATATTAAGAGGAACATTATTATGAGGGAGAAGGATATTAAGAGGGACATTATTATGAGGAGAAGGATATTAAGAGGGACATTATTATGAGGGAGAAGGATATTAAGAGGGACATAATTATGAGGGAGAAGTATATTAAGAGGGACATATTATGAGGGGAAGTATATTAAGAGGGACATAATTATGAGGGGAAGTATATTAAGAGGGACATTATTATGAGGGAGAAGTATTTAAGAGGACATTATTATGAGGGAGAAGGATATTAAGAGGGACATTATTGTGAGGGAGAAGGATATTAAGAGGGACATAATTATGAGGGAGAAGGACATTCGGAGGGACATAATTGTGAGGGAGAAGGATATTAAGAGGGACATTATTATGAGGGAGAAGGATATTAAGAGGGACATTATTATGAGGGAGAAGGATATTAAGAGGGACATAATTATGAGGGAGAAGTATATTAAGAGGGACATAATTATGAGGGGGAAGTATATTAAGAGGGACATTATTATGAGGGAGAAGTATATTAAGAGGGAACATTATTATGAGGGAGAAGGATATTAAGAGGGACATTATTATGAGGAGAAGGATATTAAGAGGGACATTATTTGAGGGAGAAGTATATTAAGAGGAACATTATTATGAGGGAGAAGGATATTAAGAGGGACATTATTGTGAG